ACAGAAGCATAGGAGTAGTATAACAGATGTCCAGATCAACTGTAGACCAGAACTGTTAGAATGTTGATGATCCACTCGTCCAGAACCCTACTCTTCAAGAGAATATTCGTTAAGTATTCTTAGAAAGGGGACAAAAAGACAACTGCGGCTCACGGTGAGCTGCTCACCAAGACCATTCACATGGTGCGAATCTTCCACAACTTGTGGCTTATGCTTTTAGGGGCATGAACAGTGGCCGAAACATTGACAGGGCCCCCAGCAAGACCAGCAAGGATCATTGAGGACCCTCAAAACTGAGGAAGGCCTATTCTCCGATTTGTCAGCCGAGTCGTCACCAACAATGATGTGGCCGAACGCCATGATGAAGTACAGGATGCAGAAGAGTTTCATTTTTATTATATTCGTGAAGACGAGAACGCTGAAACTCGACTTTCACCGTGAAAGTTTCACGCTGTTGACACAATTTCACAGCACCTTCCGAGATCTGTACGTATAAAGTCAGAAGCGTTACGAAGACACGTAACAAGCTAGCTTGAAGTTTGTAACTTACTCTGGGAACCTTCAGAGGTAGAATGGCGGAGTATTCCTCCGGAAGTAATGGATGTGAATGCAGGGTGGTTCGGTTCTGGGATCGAATATCCCCCAGGAGGGAGAACAACTCTTTCTTGGGGGATATCCGAAAACCCTGAGGTGATATAGTGGAGAGCGAATTCACTTCTTCACGGAAGTGGAGCAATCCTCTCGCAATTACTGCGTGCTTGCACACGTGAGCGTTATACGTCCCGTGGTGGTTACGCTGAGTAGGACTCTTTCCTACTTCAAGTGCTGTTGCTGACTTCTGTTACTGTTCGATTGATGTCAGCAACTATGACAGTGTCATAATGACACGCCGTCTATCGGCTCGCATTATTGTCCCTGCTCCTTCTCCCTTGATCGGTCTTAAAATGAGGTCCCCCATGGCCACATTTCAGAGGGGAGGGGAGGCTGGGCTATGTTGTCCTGGCTTTCCGAGGTTGGCTTATGTTATCCCGATTTTCGTTACCACTGTTCTTTGGTCGCTATTATTGTTATGGCCTCATTGTCTGTCGATGGTGTATGCAGGTAACGGCTGTTATTGCCCAACATATCAAGCTATGCACACGTGAAAGCACTTATACATACGTGTTCCCACGCACAAGATGTATGAGATTGGCGCATTTGACTGGGTGGAACTTGGATACGTGAAGCGGTTCTGGGAGTTTCGCTTGTTTGGAAGACTAATGGTGCATATCCAAGAGTAAGGGTCGCAACGTAGTGTTGCTATTCGGAGTCTCTCAGCCTGTCGTATCATTCATAGCTGACACGCTTCGCCATCATGGCGCCATATATGCCCAAAATTGCCCCCCGGCGCCATCATCCTGTCGCAGACGTGAATCAATTCACGACCTTCCGTATCACAGCCAGCTGCTCTACCCACTAAACTACGAATCCAACTCATATTGGGCTTCCACAATATGGTTATCGACCGGCCATATTGTCATATTATGCACGCGATGTGCTATTAGCATATTTGGGAGTTATTTAGTTGTGTGCTTACCGGGCTCCTATAATATTGTGGTAGAACGAGGATACGTAAGAATTTTCGAGACATTTGCTTGTGTGCTTACCACATTCCTGTCATTTCGTACAAGTACAAAGTGCTCCAATTGTAATCTTGATTGTGTAAAAGCGTCCGTGAATAGTGCAGTGGCCACCTGAAGCAGCTAGACCGCTAAGACATAGACCCAGTTCGCTGGAGAAGACAGATGAAGATTCTTTGCTATTTGTCATGACTGGGTGTATCCTCTTTTGCGATGACTCTATTTCTTAGTAAGAGAACATCTGAGCGAGGTAAAGTGAAATGATTCGCTGTTAGGTATGACTTGATGTATCATTTATTGTGACAATTCGGTTTCCAATTAGAATTCTTAGCTTAAAGTCTCTGATAACAGCATTGTATAGATGCTCGTCCCTAAATGAATCACTCCTGAAGTTCAGGACCTGAACGTCTAACCCGTAGACGAAAAATACGGACAAAATCACTCTCGGTCGGAAAGATCAGAGCACAAACGGCGAGGTCAGAGCATTTTTCAATGAAACGATTGTATACGGAAAGATGTCGTACGAAGAGAGAATCTGGCACGAAATTAGCGATGGATCAAACACTTCGGCACCGAACATTCCTTGGATGAAACGCTCATTTATGAATCGCGCTTCACCCGTATAGGTACTTGTCCTTCTCTCCTCCATGATCCTTGTACATCGTTATAGATACCTAAAACTTTCGCTTGATTCAACGGGTGTGCACTCGCGTTGCGTGCACTGCAGCAATGCACGCAGTGGATAGCGGCGCTATCATAGCGCCATCCTTCGCGCATTTGCACGAGTGCAAATCGCTATTGCGCGCAAAGCACTTGACTCCATTGGAGCGGTCCTTAATGATGAGCAATACATGATTTAAGAATCACGTTTTCTGCTCTAAGGCTGCGGCTGTAGACTCCGTCTCTTGAGTCTACCTTCCTTGTGGCCTTCCTCAGTCTCTCCAGAGGCCACAAAACAACGGTTGGACAACGTACTTGAATTCTTGCGCGTGATTTCGCGCACTGCGTGAAGTGCGAAGTTGTTCGCGTACCTATGAAAGAATCGTGCCGTTCGCGCACCTCGCTCGCACATTCTTCGTTGCATGAAACAGCTCGCAGCCCTCAGGCTCAGAAGGATGAGATAAGAATCCGTATCACCTATTATGGCTATCCCGCCCGGTCGAGATTCGCTTCGTTTTCCCGGTCGGACCGGGGAAGCGAAGTGAATTCCGCACGTTCTGGCATCTTCTATCAGCGCATCTTCGGCTGGATTGCGCCCGATATCCTGTCGTATCCGTCGGTTTCTTATCTAAAGGTTTCAGATCGGAGCTGCAGATCGAATCCGGACTCATTGGGCCTATAACCTAGGGACCTTAGTGATTTAAGGACCTAAACGGGATTTTTAAGGAAGTCCTAAACTTGAGGTGAAGGGAAGGAGCTTAAGGTCCTTAAGTGATCGGGACCTCTGAAAATGATCGAAAAGCATAAGGTGCTGAGACAGAACCCAGTGACATGGGCATGCCAGCATGTCGTCTTGAGTCAAGACGACATGCTGGCAAGACTCTTGACCTCCAGACAAGCAAGCGATTAGACTGTTAGTCACACAGTTACAGGATCTGGAGACTGTGCTTTGGGAAGGCACAAGTATACTGGGAGTAGAAGGAAACCCAGAAGAATGAGGAGCAGGTTGCAAGGATGACAGGCCCTCTGCGGAAGAGGTCTTTTATGATACGAAAAAGAGTCGTCCTCAGTAGCGTCGCCTTCGTGACGAAGGCTTTGTCGTAATTACGATTGCGGGATGGTTTCCGAATCGGAGGAAATGAGGAAATCGGAAATTCCGATTTCCTCATCCCGGAGCGATGCGGGTAAGTCTTGATGTGTGAAACATGGAACCGGGCATACCCCAGAATTTTTCTCGTTAGAATTGTTCTGAGCTACAAGCCGAGGTACCAAGCGGTCCATCATCATCATCATCTTCATCGGCCTCTTCTTCTGTCGGCTTACTCCCTGCATTCGGCAACAATATGTTCCCAACGCACTTCCACTTGGATGAGCTACAGGTAATGGCTTAGGTGTATCTCTACCACGAGTAGTGCTCCTGAAGTATATAGCTGCTATATACTCTCTAAAACACAGAGTGAGGTCTGAACTATGCTTCAATATAGTATATTATAGCATAGTTCAGACTCACTTCTGAGTTTCAGGGGGTGCGGATGTATAGCCAATTGTCAAAGGGGCCATGGTTCAGATAAATCCTCGGAAAATTGGTCTAATCCATGCGCTTCCTGCAAGTCTAAGCTAGAATGCTTAATCTAAGCTATTACTGCAATTCTATGCGAAAAGTGCTGTTCCATGCAGTAAGCTGCCTAGATTTGCGATGACACCGGTACTGAGTCTAGGGCCGACCGAGCGAAGCGAGGTCGGCTACAGATTTCGTGTACTCTTATTTCACGATCAGGATCGAATGTAGTGGGGTCCACTACTCTTAGTAGTTTAGATTCAATTGATAACTAAACAGTCGCAGCTAGTTGAATAACGTTCAGTAGGGTAATATATAACAGTTTGATTGGATAGAGTCGATTCAAATAAATCTACTTGCAACACAAATCCTGCTACTTGGTGGCACCACCAAGTTGGTGCAGTAAGATGACACTCATAGCCACGGCACTCTTCCGTGTTACTAGGTTCTAGCGATACGATTAGTGAGCCGCAACTAGCAGCAAGGATTAAAATCGGTCCTACGAACTAGATGAATTCGCCGAGTCTCACTTGGACAAGCCCACTGTTGTTCGTCATTTCTACGTATTGTCACTAGTAAGAGTTGCGCTGACCGAATCGATCGTCGTGGCTCGAGCTTTTTACATGAGCGCGTTCACTCTTCCCCGCCACTACTGTAGCCTTAAAATCACCTGACACCCAACAGGCATTGAGCATTGCTAAACTTTCTCGTTACCTCATTTAGCTGTCTCAACCTCTATTCTACCGTACACATCATACCATTTACCTCATACCCTTTACCTAACTTCAGCAATCATTCATTGCTTTTCTTACTCATTCATTGTTTTCTTGGGGAGCTGTCGTTGAGCCTCTCGCGACCACTGGAGTCGGCGATTGTATGTTTAAGGGCGATAGGCCACTAGGCCCGTAATGCCCGGCACCAGTTACACACACACCTGACACCAGTGATGATCTTAATGGGAGTGACACCACTTTTAGGTCCTTGTCTGGATCATTTCCTAATGGATGTCTTGCATTGCAGAAAACTTGTGACACCATCGGCAGCGGAGGAGGATGTAGTGTGGGGAGTGAGACTTGGATCAATCCTTCGTGGCTGGTCATTCACTCAAGTGTCAGCCCTTTGTGAAAGGCCTTCATTGATGCGTCTTATCCCTTGTGGCTAACCATTCACTCAAGTGTCAGCCCTTTGTGAAAGGCCTTAATTGATGCGTCTTATCCCTTGTGGCTGATCATTCACTCAAGTGTCAGCCCTTTGTGAAAGGCCTTCATTGATGTGTCTTATCCCTTGTGGCTGATCGTTCAGTAAAGTGTCAGCCCTTTGTGAAAGGCCTTCCTTGATGCGTCTTATCCCTTGTGGCTGATCGTTCAGTAAAGTGTCAGCCCTTTGTGAAAGGCCTTCATTGATGCGTCTTATCCCTTGTGGCTGATCGTTCAGTAAAGTGTCAGCCCTTTGTGAAAGGCCTTCATTGATGTGTCTTATCCCTTCTGGCTGATCATTCAGTAAAGTGTCAGCCCTTTGTGAAAGGCCTTCATTGATGCGTCTTATCCCTTGTGGCTGATCGTTCAGTAAAGTGTCAGCCCTATGTGAAAGGCCTTCATTGATGCGTCTTATCCCTTGTGGCTAACCACTCATTCGAGTGTTAGTTTTTTGTGGTCCATTGATGTGTTATGTCCTTCGCTTATTTCCTATAGGGCAGTTCATTGGAATTGGTGACACTTTGCAATCGTCATTATGGCTGAGCTCAGTTCATCAGCCAAACGGCGGCAGCGAGCGAGACGAACACGGAGTAACCTCTGGGAAACCGCGGTGACTAATACTCCAGCTCAAGTAATACTATTTGATGATAGACTATCATTTTGATGTAACAACATTTGTAGTTATGGGCACTTTAGGGATGTAATACCGCTCCAAATAATGATGCCGAGATGGAGATTAAGGCATTGAGAGAACAATTGGCCATAGCAAAGGTCAAACCTTTGGATTCCTTAGCAGTTATTATTCTCGGCGAAGTATTGGGAGTTCAGGAACGCGAGGTTGAGAACACCGCTGCGAGGACTCATGCCGAGATGGAGGTCAAAGCCTTGAAGAAAGAGCTGGAATCAGCGAAGGTGAACAACTCGAACTTTCGACTGTCCTAAGTGGATAAGTGGTATCGTAGGGGAATGTTACGGAGATCATCACCTCGCTGGCCGATGCTGAGAAGGAGATTGAAGCCTTGAAGAAAAAAGTGGAAACAGCGGAGGTAATATGTATGGCGCTCTCGACTCTTTTGTTTGATAGTTAATAATTTAGGAACGTGATGCTGCCTCGAGAAGTGCTGCCGAAAAAGAGATAGGGATTTTGAAGGACCAATTTGCAAAAGTGAAGGTGATAACTGGTCCTTGCCTATACTGCTGGCATCATTCTGATCAATTTACGGTCATCCCAAGTCCTGAGCATGTTCTCGGTGAGATGGTGAGGCTCTTTTATCTGTCAGCGAGACGCAGAGAACGGTGAACTCGCTTCCAAGGAACGAACACGATCACTTCAATGCCAGCTGGAGGAAACCAAAGTGATATCACATCGAGGTGTTCAGTATTTTTGATGATAACTCCCTGTGTTAGCGGAGAATGTCGGAGCTTGCTGATGAAAACGTTAGGCATATTTCGGACGTATCCAGAGCCGAAGAAGAGACTCGAAGAATTATGGAGGATTTGCAGAAAACTCGCGTGAGTACAACATCGAGCTACTGAATAGCTTCACAACTGGTTCACTTTCAGGCTGAGGCATATGAGAAGATTACTGCATTGCAAACTCAGATATCCCAGTATGATAATCAAAACGTAATACAAATCGCTGGACAAGTTCACTATGCGGGTAATTGGTTGGACAGACCTCTTTCAGGTCCATGATACGAGGGACTCGGGGTTTCCTGGCTCTACCATGTCGAACCGTACGGTAGGGAGTGGAGGCTCGGAAAACGTTGGCTCCCAATTCCTTACAAGGCCAAGAACATCCATGTAAGGTGTCGATCATGTAGCTATCTTTGAGATAATATCTTACTAGACTTGCATCACAGACTGTATGACATAGAGTGACGGGTGTCACAGATGGCCGATTCCTGTGTTCGGTTCCGCTGCTTTATAATTTGTACAGTATTGTCGAATCAACCACCGAATGTGACGAATTGGGGTCCTCTCCTACAACAAAGAAGATATTCTCGGTTCGAATTCCAAGATCGGAATTTCTGCTATATTTTGAAAATATTATTTTCCTAAATTCTTTTGCATACATCATTTTCCGTACTGAGTATTGAGGAGTCTCGTTTGCCTCGAGGATGCGATTCTCGGTAGACCTCGCTCCGTTCTGTTGATAAAAAATCGTGATAGTAATGATTCTATCGGCTTTTATTTGTCATATTTCAGACATTCAGACAGCGCAACAAGTGCGATAATGGAGGATCTGGATGACAGTAGTGTAGGTCTAACGATCTGTGATCCATAGGGGCGTCCATCCAGTGCCTTAGGATATTGCGTTGGAGAAAACTAAGAAGTTGAACTCTGGAATGATGCATCGACGAAGCCAGGGGCGAAATGACACTAACGATGTAGTGAATCACGATGAGTATATTTTTTTGACTAGCTCCGTGTTAGTCCCGCAATCTAGATGGATTATCTACTCATTCTGTTCCATCCACTGTCTGCCTCGGGAACGCCATTGGCATATCGAGTGTATCCGAGGGAGTCCCCGGCCGCAAGAATACCACGCCTAGTGTCGATCAGATGTAGGTCTCAGTCATTATCGCTGATAATGCCGGGCGGACGTGATGAACTTTATATTTCAGTCCATCTTTGCAAGCCTCTCAGAGTACAAATGCGACCAGTGATCTCAGGATAACAGTGTAAGCATGACTTCTCTATCATCCGACCTCGCATATCATTCTTTGGATGTAGAATAGGAACCTTTACCGCTTATAGGCCCGCCTTTCGATCTTCACAGTCACACATTGATCTCTCGCCTGGTGATGATGGTAGTGGTGTCTCTAAACGACGCAAAGTAAGATTTACCCCTTCGAGCCAACTGCTGTTCGTCTCTGACTCATCTAACG